TGTATGTATGTATGTATGTATGTATGTATGTATGTATATATATATATATACATATATGATTTTTACATCATTCATTCATTCATTCATTCATTCATTCATTCATTCATTCATTCATTCATTCATTCAGTCCATTCATTCATTCATTCATTCATTCATTCATTCATTCATTCATTCGTAGCGATGGAGTCTATCAAAGACGCACGCCCAGCAGACAAAAGCAAGCGAATTCAGAACAGGAAAAGCCGACGCAGAAATCTAGTGGGACATGCCCTTGCCACCTAGTATGTGCTTTCAATTTTGTGGGCATTCCGGTTGTAAAGGATTCGGGATTGAACCAGCGCAAGTGCTGAAAGCTGTTCCTCACCGCTCCATAGAAAGGATTGAATGCTCCATGAACTACCACGAGAGCAGTGGAAAAGCAAGTGCCGCCAAAAACTCCATGAGGGTGTCACGTGTCGAACATGTCGGCCCTGACGTCATCGATGCAGCTTGATGCCCTGTGCGGCGTCGACTCATTCTGGACGGTGTGGTCCGAGAGCACGCGGTCACCCTCAATGCGCGGCGCCAGGTGGAGCTTTGACTCTTGCTGGCTGGCGCAGGCTAAGAGCGCACAGCCGTCCTCCAACTTCCCCACACCACACATCCACACACGAACACACCCGCACACCCACACCCACACCAACCCACACCCACCCACCCACCCAACCACCCACCCACACCCATCCACCCACCACCCACGCACCCCACCCCCATTGCACCCACCCCCACCCACCCCACGCACGCCTGCACGCACTCACTCACTCACGCATTGTTTCATACTGTGAATGACTGACTGACTGACTGACTGACTGAATGAATGAATGAATGAATAAATGAATGAACGCACGAACGAACGAATGAATGAATGAACGAAATATATTAAAAATACGTGAAACCTGAAGTAAAATAACATGAAATTAACATGAAATCATGAAATCACATGAACCAATGAATGAATGAACGAATGAATGAATAAACGATTGAATGAACGAATGCACAAACAAATGAATGAAGAAATTGATTAATGCATGCGCTCGTTCGTTCAAACAGTTTACATACCAGCCTACATGCATGCAATGTGTGTGTGTATATACACATCTATGTACACATAAGTACATACTTGTGTACACATGTACAGGGCCACAAGCACATACACATGTGTGTACCCATCTCTACACCCAACAAAGTACATTTAACAAAAAAATACAAATACAACAATGCATGCTTATGTATGTATCTACCCATATGTATATACATACATATAGAACATACTCCCGAATAACACACTATAGTACAATACACTACATTATTGTCTAATTTGTTAGAAGATCACCGAATAGAACAAACACAAGCGAATATAATATGTTAGACAAGAATAGATAGAAGAGAGTGCAGTAGAGTTCACATTATAATATCATATGATATTATATTACATTATATTATACAGATCTTGTGTGTGTATGGTCCCCATCTGGGATTAGGTGGGTTTGGATTTGGCCTCGCCCTGGGTCTCCTCTCCCGCGCGTTGTGGATGCATGGGTTTGGGCTTAGGGTCCCTTTCCCCTGTAAGTATGTGTGGTTTGGGCTTCGCTGTGCCCCGGTGCGTGAATGTTGTGGTTGCGGGCGGGGCTGGGGTTCATTTCTCCCTGTGCGTGTTGCTGAGATATCAATATAAATAGCACGACGGCAGTCACGGGGATCTCGGCCCTAAGCGACCGATGTCTTTGGCTGTTTGCGCGTTCGAGCCGTCGCGGTCACCATCGTCACCATTACCATCATCATCCTTATGTTCATAGTCTCAGTTTCTGGCACTCACGAGTGCTTTCCAAGTCCAAAATGTCAACTGTCTCACAGATTCCGGCTCGAACCCACCCCAACTCTGCCGCCGTGACCACTTCTCAGACATCTTGGTGACGTCAAGTTCCTAAAGCGGCAACTGTCACGCGGATTACCTCTCGAACCCCCACGATTCCTGGGACCGTTGCCAGTTGCGGTAGATTGTTGCAAGGTCGTGGTCCCAAAACAACCAGCGTCACAAGGATTCGGGCTCCAGGTGGCCCCATCCCTGTGACTGTTGTATTGCTTCTGGCGCAGAAACGGCACCTGTCGCGAGGATTCTGCGCCTGCCCTGTCGCAGGGGGGTGGTGCCCGGAGAGGGCGGGGGACCCGTCGGTGCCCGACCATACTTAGATAGTTAGGAAATCAGTTAGATAGTTAGGTAGTGAGATAGTTTGATAGATACAAGGGCGCAGGCAGATAGATAGACATAAAGATCGATAGATAGACACAAACAGATGGATTGGAAGATAGATCGGAAATTGCTAGGTATAGGTAGATAGTTAGATAGATGGATAGATCGATTCGATAGATGGGTAGATAGGTGCGCACCATTGCACACCGTGTATTCTGCGCAGCTCCAACCAATGCGGACTGCACATTCCTGATCTTCGTTTCGTACCGCATTGGAAGCGCTGACTGCTAAGTTGTGCGTTCATTGCTAAGACCATGTCAGTGTCCGATAGAAACAGCTCAGCACTCGAGGTCAGAACACACGCCGATAGCAGCGACTGTGAACTCGACAGCAGCAGCTGGTTCTTTCCGCTCGCGGGTAGCAGCACTTGATCCATGAAAAGCTGAGGCGGCAAGCTGTCTGGCCGATGCCAGCGCGCTGGGCTCTCGCCTCACACTGACGACTGTCTTCTCCTTTCACTCCACTAAAATATGAAGATTTGTATCACATACTGTTGTATCGACATGTACCGTGCCAAGTCCTGTGTGTGGTACGGTGGTCCTGATAGGCCTTTACCACGACATCGATGGCCTGCAGAAAGGAAGCCATCTGCAACATCAGGATCCCAAGACGATGTAACTACGGGCACAAAAACCAGAACACAAGCTCAACAACACATACGTCTTTGTTCATGTAAAGCTGTGCATGTATTCGCAAGCATATACCTATACCTGACCATACACATACACATATAAATATACGCACCACATACATGTGTATATATTATATATGTATACCTACACATACACATGCGGCATATATACATATACATGTACGTACACGGTTCCATGTACATGTACTTGTAGATTCATGCATGTATGTACGTCTGTATGTGCTTATGTGTGCGTGTATGTTTAGTCCCTTTCTGACTGTTTAGGTTACCCTGACAATCACAACAATGGATAATAAGAGCAGGCAAACAAAAAGAATGAGCATGTCCCGGATAACCACGGGTTCATGATTCATAAAGGCAAGCAACTCACAATGAAGGAATACAAATATAACCGAGTGAAACATACATGAACAAAATGCAGAATGAAACCCATAAACAACCGTTCGACTAACCAAACAAGCACGGAGACACACAAACGATCAATCAAACAAACAAACGGATAATCCAAGCAAGCAGGCAATCACACACATGCAAAACCTAACAAGGCACAAACGAATGATTAAGTCCACCTGTGTCTATCTTTATCTGCCTAGCTTGCTCTGTCTCTACAAGCATCCATCTATGAAATCTGAAGTCAACCAGCCCTACCATGCATATATCTGCTACCTTTTATTCTCTCTCTCTGTCTCTCTGTCTTTCTGCCCGTCTGTCTGTCTCCCTCTCTCTCTCCCCCTCTACAGGGCATAAGGGCACGTATGGTCCAGTTCGAAGCCTCTACGCTGACGTTCTCTCCTCGCGCCCAGCACGGTGATTCACTATGTCGTTCTCGACCAAGCTGCAGTCTTGACTTAAGGTGAAGTTCTCCCGCGCCCCGTGTCGATAGGTGGGGAACGAGGCCGCAGGTTCGGCAAACTCCCCGGCAAACTGCGTCTGGGGGCCGAGGTGGTAGAAGATCTTAAGTGTTGGAAACGCAGGTTGCCTCTCCTTTCGGGCAACCTAGTGGTGTCGCGACCTTGACCTTCTCTCACAGGGCGGGGACATGGCTTGGGCGCCTACGCTCCCACGGGCGCTTCAGCCAGGTTACTCAGTGGCTAAGCGGGTCGGCAGCCTGGGGCACGGTATCTCACATCCCCTCGAGCTCCGAAGTGCTTCTCCACAGCGTTCACAATGTATATGGGCACTTTGAACAACGTTTTTTCTCGTTCACTCTCTCCCCCCACATCTACACACACACACACATATATATATATATATGCATAGTATATACATATATATATATATATTTATTTATCTATATTTATACATACACACACACATATATATATATACATATATGTATGTATATAGAGAGTCTATATACATGTAGTACATATGCACATATACACAGAGAGAAATATAGACAGGGAGATATATGTCCAACCATACATCGCCGACAAGACCAGTATGAAGTAGAAAGCAGGCAAGCAAGCAAATGAAGCACAGTCATGTGACAAACCCATACGTAACTGCCTGCCTGCCTGCCTGCCTGCCTGCCTGCCTGCCTGCCTACCTACCTACCTACCTACCTACCTAATCACAAACATACATACACACACACACATGCATGCATACATACATACCTACATACATACATGCATACATAAATATGTATTGGCGTACCTCTTTGTAGAGCTATGGAAGTGCTCGTACAAACATACACACGTACATGCATGCTTACAACTAACACACACACATCTGTATGTTAGTACTACATACATACATACATACATACATACATACATACATACATACATACATACATACACACATAGATACATACATACATACCCACACACATACATACATACATACATACATACATACATACATACATACATACATACATACATACATACATCCCTACATACATACAGACATACCCACATACATCCATCCATGCATGCATACGTACATGCATACATGCACACATATGTACGTGCATGCATGTGTGTGTATGTGTTTACATATGCACAGTTAGTAAATATGTATCTGCAAACTCCTTTGTGCGTTCGTATGTATATGTATGTTCGCGTGTGTGAATGTATATTTTTACATAAACAAGTAAACGAAGAAACGAGTAACAACTGAAAGTACATGGTTAGGTGAAGAAGCCACCAACTGTGTTGATGTTACATGTATATATATATATACACGTATGTGTAATATATATATACACAAATTCGGCATACATACAGATATACAGACATACATTCATTCATTCATACATAAATATACCTACCTACCTACCTACCTACCTACCTACCTACCTACCTACCTACCTATCTACCCAGCTACCTAGCTACTTACTTGCCTACCTGCATACATGCATACATACACACACTCGACATACATACATAGGCGATCCATAACAATAGGTACACAAATGTCTAAAGGATAATTACTGGCCACATACTCTGCGGACCAGTTCTGCTGCTGTATCTTAAGTCAGACTAAGGCTCCAGCAATAGCTTCGCGTTCCCATCGTTTTACAGGTTTAACAAGTGGCATCCGTGTATCAATTGTCCAGGTCTTGACGTCCAAAACACAAGATGACTGCGCAAACGAAACTGCGGTGCCTGACTATTCGTAAAGACGCTTGTCAAGCCCCGGCCAAGGTGTTGAACATGTGGCAATATTCATGGTCCATTGTTTGCTGATACAGTACCTGGCCTGGCCGGGCATGCACATGTTTCGGAATCCGAGGGCCGTGCAGCACCCCTTCAGCGATGGGACTTGCACGTAGGACGCCTTCGGCGACCAGAGTCTCATCGCCAAGGCCTGGCCAAGCCAAAAGGACATTGCCAACCGACTCCTTTTAAAGAGTGGGCATCCCAACTGAAGTGCCGCAGCAATTTACCAGACGGGCAATGCGAGACTGTGCTAAGTTTCCCCAGTCGGCAGATCCCACATTTCCAAACGTCATACACAGACTAGGCTCGACATTTCCAGCAACATGCACAGCCTCTACTGCAACCACGCTAGCCTACACCTGTTGAGCACAAGCCGGGAATATGCTTCTGGCAATGTTCAGTGCTCGACCTGTTGTGCTTGCATGCCGTGTGTAACTAGCAAGCCCGTAACACCACAGGATATCACGACAGAAACCACGATCTGCGAGGTTCAACATACGTTGTTGTTGTTGTTGTTGTGGTGGTGGTGGTTGTTGTTGGTGTTTGTGGTGTGGTGGAAGCTGTGGTGCTGGTGGTGGCAGTGATGGTGGTGGTGGTGGTGGTGGTGGTGGTGGTGCTGGTGGTGCTGGTGCTGGTGCTGGTGCTGGTGCTGGTGCTTATGCTGCTGGTGGTCCTGGTGCTGGTGCTGGTGCTGGTGCTGGTGCTTGTGCTGCTGGTGGTGCTGGTGCCGGTGCCGGTGCTGGTGCTGCTGCTGCTGCTGGTGGTGGGTGTTGCTGTCGTCGTCGTCGTTGTCGTCGTCGTTGTCGTCATTGTCGTTGTCGTCGTCGTTGTCGTTGTTGTTGTTGTTGCTGCTTGTTGTAATTGTTGCAATGCAGGCCTAGGAGCCCGAAAGCAACGGAAGCTGAGCACGACTTCCTGGCCATGAAATGGCAGACCAGCCATGCCTCCCGACAACTCGCTTGCAAAAAACGTCGGCAAGAGCGTCGCCTCCTGTCGATGATGTTGGGAATCTTGTAACGTCTCTGATGCATCCACGCTTGAACACTCCTTCTGGCTAGGGAAGTAAGAATGCACAACTCCCGCTCCTTTCGAGAAAATATTTGGGAGCTCCCGGATCTCACTGAGGGAACTTGGAACTACCCAACACTCGGGGGTCAAAGTATCCCGCAGGTTCTACTGCCTAGAAGTGCTGGAAACATCATTCACTTTACATCAATAGCAAGGGAACCTCAATGCTGTTTGACTGTTCCTTCTTCCGCAGTCTAAGTTTGGATCGCATGAGCCTCTCTGCTCTCTCCCTCCGTCTGTGCCTCTCTACTTGTACCACGGGTTGCTTGACGTACTGTTGTTGGTTACAATACTGGCTACCCAAACCTTCAGAGTCCGACCTAAAACGGACCCGCAAGACGAGACTCTCAAGCGACCATGCTCTTTGAACCACATGACATGAACTTTGCAAAATTGTTGATCTTGAGCCTTGTCAAGGTTGTATTTTAAACAACGGTGAGTAATTGCAAGCCATGCGCTGCTCCAATGATGCTGATGCCGGAAGTGGCAACTTCATCGTGAAACAGCTTCACGAGTATCCAGAACACCCACGACCAGGGAAGTCTAGGCGGCTTGCAACGAGGAGTTGCAGGAAACACTTAAGACCCTCACAATCGAAAGGCCGCCGAAGGCTGAATGTCAAAAACCTAGCAGATCCCAGAAGTCCTTCGGCATCGAGTAGCTACTGGATTCCGGTCCAAGAAGCTCAGATCTGCCAACAAGTTTGTTCACTAGGAACTTGGGGTGCTTCCGAGTGCTGCGGCTTGAAAGTATTCAATTGTTCTTCTCCGGCAAATTTATCTTCGAGACTTTGGTCTTGAGCATTTCCGGTTGAAGAGCTTGAGGGAGTTTGACAATGAAGCACATCCGGGTGTGGAGCATGTGGAAATAGCGATGTCTGCATAGAAGATCGCCCAAGTGTCGCCGTCACATTTTCATCTGGGCGTCCGACAACTTCACATGATATCCTCCTCCCGGAGAGCACCCCGCCATTGTACCTCAGTCCATCAATCACGCAATCCAGGCATCCTGAAGTGATGAATCTCTTGCTCGCACTGGACTCGTTCGTGCCTCTGCTGGGTGCCAAGTTCTCTGGCTGGGAAAGTTGAGGAAGTTGTGTGGTCACCACCCGCTATGCAGGAATCATGAAGAGGGTGTATACGCGATCAGGACTTGGGCATATGTGGTCTGTGTGCGAAAAAGAGAGCATGGTGTGTGGTGTGGCATGGTGTAGTGGCAGACCGAAGGATGATACGAGATGCTAAGGTGTGATAAGATATGTAGGTAAGCGAGTAAGTAAGTGATGAGTAAGTGAGCGAGCGAGTGAGTGAGGGGTTGAACAGGCAAGCAAGCCGTCAAGCAAGCCGGCATAAACAGGCAAGTAAGCAATGAAGTAAGTGAGTCAACCCCTCAGTCAGTCAGAGGGTACGGATGAACGCACAAATGAGTGCATGCATGTATGCATGCATGCATGTACGTGTAAGTCAAACGAGACATTGGGTGAGTGAGTGGGCGCGTGAGTGGGTGAGTGCAAGTCTGCAAGAGCCAAGAGGCATGTACATATCTGTCCGTCTAAGAACTACAGACAATCGATGTATATATATATATATATTATATTATATATATATATACTTATTTATACACATGCATGAACGAACATATGTTTGTAGTGCATGCAAGTAGGTACATATGCCTATATATATATATATGCATGCATGCACGAACAAACTGAGATGGCAGGGTATGTTTCTTTGCACGCATCCATGTACCTGCATGTATGCGCAGTGTTGAATTTGCGTAAGGATTTGCACGCGCGGATTTAACTCTGCATGTATACATTGCTGTCTGCTTGTGTGCGTGCATGCACCAGGGTACGTATCGCCCTGTAATGCAAATGCTATGCAACGGGATGGAACGTGATGTATGGTCGTGATGTGTACTGTAATTAATGAAATGAAATGAGATGAGATGAAATGAAATGAGATGCAATGTAACAACATATAAGTGATGTGAGGTGAGACATGGCAAGTAAGTAAGTACCCATGTATGATGTACGGAAGTATGTCTATGTCTGTTCTCTGTCTATGTCCGCGCCCACATCTCTGTCGCTGTCTATGTGTAGGCGTATGGTATGTATGCGTGCGTATATGTACGTATGCAGGGCATGTGTGTTCTGACTGTGACAGGGTAATGTGTGAATCCAGCAAGTATGCACATCTTGTACATGATGAAGTATTTGTACAAAAACAGGCAGACAAACAGACAAACAGACGCGCGTACATACATACAAGCATATGTGCATACATACATACATACATACATACATACATACATACATACATATATACATACATACATACATACATACATACATACATACATATGCATACACATACACATACACAAACGCATACCAACACACATACACACACACACATACATGCATACTTACTTACTTACTTGCTTGCTTACTTACTTACATACATACATGCATACATACATACATACATAATACATAATCCACGTATGCACGCTGTGTGCTCGTCGTCATGCAGCTTTGTGTAGATCAGGAGTCGTTTACACGTATGTAGTAGCCCTCACTGCCAGGAAAACACGGAAGGCTAGGATCGGACCACTCCCTCTTCCCCATGAAATTGTCCAAGGCTTGAAATGTTTAGATCAACCTTGGGCTGTCGGGGCGAGGCGAGCCCTACACATCCGCACCTTCCGTGAAAGACGAAAACCCTTCAAAGATGTATAATGATGAAACCCAGGTCACGACATTCAGATGTGCTGGGAAACCGTGCTGTCTTTGGCTGTGCTCGACACAGCGCGGGAGTCTGAGGAGGAGAATTCTAGTCTTCACCACAAACAGCGACGTCACAGATCCTCTGACTCACAGCGGTCTTGTTTAAGCACAAACCATGCAAAAAACTCATATCGACGTGCTCGCAGTTTGCAACCGGAGGACATGGCAGTGCCGTCAATTTCTGCCGCTGCTGCAGTCAGGACTTCTTTCCTCTAAAGCACGCCAGCGCCCGAGTGAAATCGTGCACTTTGCTCCGCTGGGCCTCACTGCACGAGCCAAGTGACCCAAATGCCAATACGAGCAACGAGGACGAGGTGCGCTTCAGGAAGCAAGCTTGCACAAGGCAGCACCTCCCCTATCTTCTTCTCGACGAATCGCTGAGACCTCTGCCATGGTCTGAGGCGAAGCATAGTTGGCGCCACCGATACGCGAGTCGTAGCCTGCCTCTGCGGTAGTTCAGGCATGTGGCCCGGATTCTACGATGAACTAGCACTGAAGTTGTTCATGCTTGTTCCAGATACAAGTTTTGCATGATCAAGAAGCCACCAATAAGCCCAATAAACAACTTTTCAACACACAAGTCCTTTGCTGTATGAATCTTGCGGTAAACCCCGACCCGCAAGGGTCGTATGCCCGTGCTGCACCCTATGCTCGAATCCCAATAACCTGAAAGCTACTGCGCGCTAAGCCCAGAACTATGTGAACAAGGCTATGCAAAGCCCGTGTATAAGACCACTTTCAGCCTCCCTCACTTGCTCCCTCTCGCTCTCACTGTCGCTAATGTGGTCTCCTGATTAGTAACCCCCCCCCCCCGCCCAAACAACCAAAACCCGCAATAGTGGAAGGTCGGGTCGAAGTTGTTTGGGGGGGCCGGGGTCGAAGTTGTTTGGGGGGCCGGGGTCGAAGTTGCAGTAATTAGTACAGTAGTACAGTAGTACAGTAGCACAGTAGCACAGTAGGACAGTAGTACAGTAGTACAGTAGTATAGAACCGTAGTAGTACAGTAGTATAGTACAGTAATTAGTAGTAATTACAGTTATTAATACAGTAGTAGTACAGTAGTACAATAGTGCAGTAAGTACACTCTCGTTTTACAGGCTTCTCGGGAGCACTCTGGGCTCTGTCCGCCCGCGCCCCCTCTCGCGAACTCTCCACCGCCTTCTCTGTCTCTCCTCTTCCAGACGTGACTTTGTAGTAGGACTGCTTATATACCTAAACCTTAAAAAATTGGGACTATTGAGGGGTGGTTTATTATTACGTGCAGGCCGAGTTTAGCTCTATTGAGGGGACCTTCCACTATTGAGTTCCGGGCCGAGTTTAGCTCTATTGAGGGGACCATTACTAATCACGAGCTCACATTAAGGCCGTCTCTCCCTCTCTCCATCTGTGTATCTGGCTTTCTTTCCCTTCGGCAAACTTCGGCATTAAACGAACGAAGGCAAAGGCCTGTGTCTGTGTCTGTGTGTCTGTTTTACTGTGTGTTTGTGTGACTGTTGACTCTGTGTCTGTCTGTCTGTCTGTTTGTGTGTCTGTCCGTCCGTCTGTCTGTCTCTGT